GTACTTGTACAGCGACCAAGGGGCCTTGAGCGTCCACGAGTGCCCCTGCGAAGCACGGATGAAAAAATCGGCCGTGCCAGAATCTCGCATCAGGACCTTGAACTGCAGACGCTGCTTCTCCTCACCGTCCGCCTCGCGGACGTGGACGATCGCCATCATGATTGCAGCCATCTGATCGACCGTTCTGCCGTAGAAGGTCTCGGCGATGATCTTGGCATCGTTGCACTTCGGGTTGCACCCGTCGGGCCGCATACCGCCGTTCCAGGGGAACTCGTGTACGAGCTCATGGAGGTTGATCCATCCATCGTGGTCGTCGAACGTCCTCAGCCTCCAAACTGGATTGTTCGGTCTGTCAGGCGCGTGCCTACAGATCTTGCTGAGGCACTTACTGAGCTGCTTGATCTTGTAGTTAGTGCTCGGGATGATGTTCTTCTGCCTGCGGCTCTCCATAAGCGCCTCGTCAACCGAACGCATCGGTGGTAGCTTCCGTAGAGCACGACGATCGTTGATCAACGCCTGGCTCCCGCTCGTGAAGGAGGTATCGCCTGGGTGGCGCAGCTTGTCCTCTGGCGGGTTTCCCCGCAATGGAGCCTCTGCCGCTGACGAGGCTGCAGCTCCTGATGATGAGGATGCTGCGGCTGCAGCGCCTGGCGGGTTTCCCCGCGGCGTCTCTCGGCTGGCGCTGCCCCTAATCTTAGGCACCCAGGTACCCCGAGGCAAAGCGCCCTCCTCGGACGCCTTGGAGCGTGTCGCCACTGGCGAGGCCGGCGTAGGGGTATACCCTGTACGCTCGAACGCCTTGGCCTTGCTGGCGATGGAGCCACTCCGGCTAGGCTGTCGCCTGCGGATCTCCAGGGGGTCCTGAGGCTGTTGCCTGGGGTCAGGTCTCTGCGCAGGCATTGCTCGAGTCGGTGACTTCGGCACTTCGGAGAGGGGCCTCCCCATCTGCACATCGGACCCGAGCTCCTCTGAGCGGGTAGAAACTTTCTGTCTTTCGCCCGAAGGCGTCCTATGTTCACGAGTCTCGCTTTTAGCTTTTGGGATCGTTGGTGGCTTCTTTGCTTCAGCTTGTGACTCCAGCAGCATTCGGCGAGTTGCCTCGCGGTTGCGCTCTTCTGCCACTCGCTTGCGCTCTGTCTCTGCTGCGGCTCGTTGAACCTCATGCTCGTCGTCACTCGTCATCTCGTACGTTTGAGCCTGCCTGGAGACACCAGGCGGGCATCCCCGCGGAGATCGAGTCTCCTGAGCAGGAGGGCTGTTGTGGCCTATGGTTCCGAGACGGCGATTGATCGCATCGATCTCTTCTCGGGTCATCGGCACAAGAGGTGGAGGACCCTCATTTGCAGGAGTGCGGCCCCTGTTCGGGCTTAAGACGTCATTGAGGCCTACAGGACAACCAAGTCTGTGTTCCTGGAACACCTGTGAGCACGGACCGCAGGCCGCGTCGGGCCTGTAGCGGCGGCGCTCCTCGATGATGGCTCTCAGCTGTCTCCGCACTGCCTCTTTGTCAGGACGTCGAATGTTCGTCGCGAGCTGATAGCCACCCCGCATGGACCTGCCTTGGGCGCCCCTGTAGATCGGGTTGCCCTGTCCAAAGGCAGAGTGCTCAACCGTTTGGCGCCTAGGGTCGTTGTAGGCGAGCAGCTGGCCCCCCCGTCGAGCGGCATGCTCTGATGGGGCTGCCTGCCGCCATTCACGCGGGAGCCGTCCTTGGGGGTGCGGATCGCCCCTAAGACGCGGATGTGAGCGAGACCTCCTGGCCTGTTCATCGGATGATGCTGCTGGCATAGCCTGAGCAGGAGCTGACGGGGTTTCCTGGGCAGGCGCAGGCAGCGCATCCTGGGCAGGCAGGCCCCCCTGCTGACTGGAGTCTGGCATGATTGGCTCTTGTGCGGATGGTTGTGCGTCAGGACTATCTGGATCGAAGGCCGCCTCCTCGTCTTCGCCCTTGACGTCCATCATGAGGATGGTGGCCTCGTCCTCGCACAATCCACATCCGTCATCATCTTCAACTTCTAAAGTACGTTTGCCAATGACAATGGTCATTGGCCCAGCCGGGACGGGCAGGTTCCCCTGCTGTAGAGGCGTCTGAGCACCGCTAGGCTGTCCCGGCGTCGGCGGCACGGCGGTCGGCCCAGGCTCGTTGCCGAGCACGGCGTGCGCCTCAAGCTGAGCATAGTCATAGGAGGGCTGCCCGATGACGTTTCGCATGGCCGCACGGTTGGGCTGTAGTCCCACCGCCTGGAGACCCCATCCCGGCGGAGGAAGCGCCTGTCCGCGCATCGCGATAGCCCTCTCAAGGGCTTGGCGCCAACGCCCCTTTGCATGCCATACGCGTCGCTGCACGTCGTCAGGGAGCACGCTGTCGATGAGAGTGAGGGCCGCCAGCAGCAATTCCGAGTCGTCACAGACATCGGAGTCTTGCAGCATCATGTGGCCGCTCTCAGCGCTCTGTTGCCTATCAGGATACTCTTCAGCTTGAGCGGCGTGCATCTGCATGAAGGTCTGCAGCACCGTGCATGGTCCGTACTCGCCCGGCGCGAGCATGCCAGGAGGCTCGCGAGGATTGCCTGGCACGCCCACGGTGAAGGATTGAGCATCCAACTCCATCAGTTCGCAATAGTTTGGCGGATACACTGGAGTAGGCCTGTTTCCAGGCACGAGGTCAGATTGCCGTCGAAGGTTGTACTCGACCTCCGAAGGTGAAGCCTCAACAGCGGCGTCCGCGTCGCTGCTCTCGCAGGCCATGATGTTACCTGGATTGCCGAACATCCAGTCGAAGAAGGAAAGGAGCTGGTTTCCCAGCGTTCCGTTCTCCACAGGCGTGAGCTCGATGGCTCCGAAGACGAACCTGCGGAGGTACTCGAGGTAGTACGCGTAAGAGCCCATGGCCGCACGCCTCGGTCTCGTCCAGAGTGTCCACGCTACTGACCCAAGTGAAAAATATATGTTCCACAGCCTCGAAGTCTTGGAGGCTCCGATACTCAACAGCAGGTTCACTTGATCCTAAATTGACTTCGGACGATCTACCCTTTCCATTCCCTTCCACTGGACAATCCTTCACAAGGTGATCGGTGCTATCACACTCATGGCACTTCAATATCTGGCCGTCTCTACCTCGCGGGTTCCCCGCCTGCCTTTGCCTTTGCCCGAGGTTCCCCTACGGCCTTTTCCACGGCCCTTTCCCCCGAAGGATATCTCATCAGACGGGTCATCTGAAAGCTTCTGGAGGAGAGCCGCGATGCCTCGTCCGTTCGACCTTCGGCGACCCCGTTTACCTCCTCCGTATCCTCCTCCTAACACGACGCACTGGTTTTCGTGTAAGCCTCCTCCACCTACGCTTTGCTTGTTGTAATAACCAAAATAGATGGTCGGCACGCTGATTATCACCTTCCATTTGCATGATATCTGGCCAGTCCAGTGGTTCGATGCCATCTGATGATATCGCGTCGTCGTCGGTGCCTGAGTCGAAATCGTCGTTACCCAGGTAGGTGGCTACACCGTCGTTCAGGGGGTTCGCTTCTCCCCATAGAGAGCGGTGAGGCTGAGGTTCTCTGGGGGGAGGGCTGGTTGCCCAGCTTGGTTGCGATCGATCCCCTGCTAGTATACAGTAGATTCTCCAGGATCGTCGGCCCATATGTGTGGGCCCGTTGCCAGGCTGAGCTTCAGAGGTTGAGGTAGTATAGAAATTTCCACTGCCAGCCCCCCTTCCCCTTCCAAACACTGATCCTATGTTGCCAGGAGGCCGTTCTGACAGATTGCCTATCGAGCGCATCCTCTCACGCAGTTCTTCATGCTGTTGCTGTGTTCGGGGCATTTGGTGGTTGAGTGGTTGTAAGAGCTGCGCGGCTCGCTGGCTGCCAACGCCTAGGGCGCGGAATAGGATGGTCGTGAGCAGTTGGGAGTTGGGAAAGGTCAAAACCCACCGATTGCGCCTCAAGACGGGCCATTTCGAACCGAGTAAGGGTTACGTCGATTCGTTCTCCGTGAGGCACATGAAAGTCGATGAGCTGAGTGCCTGAGGTGAGCTGGCGCTCATCTCCCAGGCGATCGAACTTCATGCTTAGGAGGAACATAATGCATGTTACTGGGTCGGTGTGGACACCGTCGGTGTCCGCACCATAGTTTATGATGTCAGGCGGTACCCCCATGGCGAGTGTCCTCGCGAGGCCGCCCAGGCCGCGTTGTGTGGCGGCTGCTTGGGCTTGTGGCGTCATGCGTCCACTCGTGACGTTAAGCCACGCGTTGACCTCGTAGACGTACTCGCAAAAGGGCACGTTGCCTTGGGGGTCCCAGTATGGGCCATGTGTTTGCCCATCGGTGCTATTATCTCCTCGGCGCATGTGTCCGATTGCCGCTCCCAGCGCAAACCATATAATGGCGAATATAACCAACCCTAGGCTGTGGAGGTATGGGCGGTTATCTGGCGCGTGGCCGCGCTGGGGCAGGGCTTGTAGCGCCTTGTCAAGTCTACGAGGCGCCTTATCTTGCGGGTCTCCCCGCCTGCGCTTCAAGTACTGCGCTTTTGGCTCGTTGCCGAGCGGTTGGTGGTAGCGTAGTGATGAAGCGTATATGGTACCAATGTTGTTGTCTAGACGTCGTACCTCTCGTGTTGCTTCTTGCTCTTGAATTGATCCTCGTAAATGTCGGTGGAGTGGTGGCGCAGGGTAGAGGTTGGTCACGAGGATCGTGCCGGGTAGCGTGAGGATAAGAAGAGCAAGAGCTGACCACACGAGAGTGCGGCCAACTCCGCTACCAAGTCTGAAATGACTCTGGTAGGTCATATTGCATCCAATTCCATGTCGAAGGAATACGATATGGGGTGTGGATGAGTAAGATAGGATAAGATCGATGTAATGATCTTTCCAGCACATAGCGAATACCAAGTCAGGTATCCGGGCAAATAGGGCGCGCGTGCATTGAGCCATAAGGCAACGACGCGCAGGCTATACTCCCGACTATCTATAACATCTCTCAAAGAGCTACCCTTAAAGTTAGTCGATGAGCTCTGGGAGGACGTACTTCGTGCCCGCGGGGGACTTCACGCGCAAGGTTCCGGCCCTCACTTGGAACCCGTCGTGCCACTGGTCCGAAGCGAAGACGCTGAGCACTTTCCCCTGCAGCCACTCCGCGCGGCGGCGGCTCCAGATGAGGACGGGGTCTCCTGGCGCGCGGCCCTGGCGGGCGCCGGGGGGGGTATCCGCCGGCGGCGTGGGTGAGACGTGGCGGCCGTACCCCAGCCCCCCGGGCTGTGTCTGCGCGGGAGGGTGGTCGCCTGCCTCTCGGGCGGGACGGCGCCGCTTGCCGCTGCTCGCTGGCCCGCGGCGCCCAGGTCGGCCGCTGGCTCTCCAGCGGGGGGGCCCGTGCTCGCCGCTGCGGCAGGGCTGGCGGCGCGTTTGCTGCCTGGCTCACGCCGCGGCGCCGCGGAACGGCCGCGCGGCCCCCGCCGGTCGCGGTTCCGGCCCCTCGCCCCCTGGCCGCGGTCGTCGAGTGCTGCCTTCACCACCGCCTGCATGGATGTTGCGGGGATGCGCTCGTTGAAATACGCCATGTTGACATAAGCCGTCATGATCCTCTCGATGCGGGTAGGGTCGGACGTGCGGATTGCTTCGTGGGCAAGGAGGCGGCGAGTGGTCTCATTTAGAGCGCTTTTCCACTCGGATACGCCCGCGATCTCGATCGTCACGCCCATCTGGCCCAGGAAGCTGGTGCCTGGCGCCGCCGGCGCCGCCATCGTCTGGAGCGGCCGCCCGGGCAGCTGCTGCGTCTGCGGGTGGTCTGGCTCGGGCTCGTGGCCCAAGGTAGTTTGAGCCAACAGCGCTCGGCGGAGGAGGGGGGGGAGGGCGGCGCGGTCCCCCCCGGTCGCCGTCCTGGTCCGCTCTGGCTGGCTGCGGACATTGGGGTGTGGTGCGACGAAGATGCCTAAGCCGGCCCTCACCCCAGCACGCGCCAGCGGGCCGGCCAGGGCCAACCCTACTGGCGGCGTGGGGTGGGCACGCGACCCGGCCCTCCCGCCCGTCCCAATGCCCTTCGTGCACCAGATGCTTCAACAACATGTCCAAGATTTGTTTTGCCCCAACCTCATTGACTGCATGCCACCACCGCATTGACTGCATGCCACCACCGCAGGAACAAAGAGGTACATGAAATAAGCGAAGCGGCAAGGGGAGGAGGCGAGGAAACAACAACAGGACAGGGGCGCGCTGCACGTGTTTGCGAGAATCATCCCAGACTTCGCTGGAGCCGGGTCGAAGAATTGTCCCGCAAGGGCGCGTGAAGAGAAGCCTGCGCGTGCGTACACCGACCAGGCAGTGCTGGTGGCACGCGCACCAGAGACCCTCGCGGACAGGAGCAAGCCGAACAAAGGACACCACAGAGGGGAAGGAGAGGGGAGGAGGAAGGGGAGGGAGAAAGAGGGGACGAAGGGCAGACAAAAACAAAAATAGCACACGGCTGTGAAGTCTGAGAAAGTACACGTCGTTCATTTCTAATCGTGCTCATTTGTATGTGTGCTCGTTTCTAATTGTTCCTGGCCCCCCAGTGGCCAGGAAGAGGCCCAGGATGGAAAAATTAGAAATGAAAGGATCTTGGCCCCAAGACATCAAGTAATGGCCAGTAAAATATATAAAGAAACAATGTGTATCTCTGACGCCACTGCGTGGCGGCATCGCGCCACGCACGGATCCACTGCATGGGTGGCAAACGGGCAAGCCCGGCGCAGTGGCTGGGGTCGGCCACCGGCGTCCGTGCGGGGGCCTGGCACGTGCGTGCAGCAGCCCGCAGAACACACACACACACACATTAAGTTAGAAAAAGGCTGCCAGACTACAGTCGGACTTGGTTGGACAGGATTCGCGAGAGGACACAAGACCCTTCCGAGGGCCACGTTGCCACAGAAATGCATGAGGCATGGGTCGCAAGACACACGACACGAGGGTACCCTTGATCTGGCAGGGAAGACCTATTAATCCGGGCCGCCCGTAGAACACACATTAAGTTAGAAGAAGGCTGCCAGACTAGGGGCACAATGCGTGCCATGACCTTGCTGACGTGAGGGGCGCTATCTTGTCTCTCCCCGAGGAGACTCGTCGCTGGGGGGGCAGGGCTGATCTCCCCCCCCCCAGATGCAATACTGTGTGTGGGGGGGGTTGTCCGTCCTGGCTCGCCACTTTGGGCAAGCCTTGCCCTGAGAAGATGCCGAATCACAGGCAGAATCAGATCAACACGACAGCACTGCATTGGCGGGCGCAGGCGCGAAGCAATTCGGAGAAGGCCGAGCGAGAGCTCTTTTAATCTCGACGCTAACCGCCATGAAACACGAACCCGAAGAAGAGGCGCACGACGAAACGTCGCGCGAACGTGATAGGGTTGTTGTTGGCTGGTCGAAAAACCACGGCGAATAGCAGTGTCTCGCGCTGACGCGCTCATCATAGAAGATCAGGCGGCTACCATATCACCCGGGTGACTCCAACCTAAGACCCATGGAGGCCCAACCAGAAAGAAAAAAAAAATGGGGCGCGCCGAAGAACCCAGGGGGTCCGGTTTCCGCGGAGGAAAGACAAAAACCCTGGCGATGGGGTTCGAGCACGGGGGTTACCCCCCCCTCAAATTCCGGAAGAGAAATGAACTCCCAGCCGCGGGGGTGCCCGCGCGAGGGGCCCCACCCCCCCAAGCGCAACCAGAGGAAGAAAAGCGTGAGAGCCGAGACTGTAAGTAGTACTGAGGAAGTGCACTACAGAATAGGAAGGAAGTGCACTACTGTAAGTAGTACAATGGTTTTTTAAAACTGTACTCAGGAATTGTAGTAGCACTAGGGAAGTGCACTACAGACTTGCACTAGAAGTTGTACTATTACTCGGGAATTGCACCAAGGAATTGCACCAAGGACTTGTACGAGGGAGTTGTACTAGCACTCGGAACTTGGATCAGAGAGTTGTTATAGTACCACTTAAACCGGGGAATTGTACGGGGGAATTGTGCTCGGGAGTTGTACCATGGAGTTGTACTAGTACTGGGGATTGGCGATAGGGCGTTGTTCTAGGGGGTACAATTTTACCAGCTGTAATATGATACCAGCTGCACTCGAATATTTGCACGGCAGGACAACGTGCTCTCTAGGAACAACTGCGCGATAGGACATGATAGTACCAGTTGTGCTCAAGTACGAGTTGTACGGTAGTCGGAGGGGTTCAGGGGTTCCAACGGCAACGCGCGCGGGGAAGAAGGAAAGAAATCCATGCGCCGCCAGGGGTCCCTGGTTTAACGGGTCGCCGCGAAGGTTGACCCCCCGCGGAAAGAAGAAAAGAAATCCGGCCGGGGGGTTGGGGGGTTGAGGGATGAGTCACGGGGGCGATGCTACCATCGGGGTGCGACAGGGAGGAAGAAGGAATGGAGGAGGAGGAGGAGGAGGAGGAGGAAGAGGAGGAGGAGGAGGAGGAGATGCCATCTGCAGCCAGGATGGCCCTGATGCCTGACGGCTGGTCGGAGAGAGCGACTGGTGAGCACGGCGAGCGCTTCGAGGGCCGCCGCCGCGGAGCGGGAGCTCCCTCTCTGGCTGCCTCCGCCTCTGCCTGCGGACCGCATGGCTCGGTGATCGCCTCGCTCGCTCCTCGTCTTGCCCCTCCTGCTCCTCGTCTTGCCCCTCCTGCTCCTGCTCCTGCTGCTGCTCCTCGTCGTCCCTTCGGCTGGGAGGGACGCGAAGACAGGCGGCCGCTGTCCTGAAACTCCTGCTTCTGGCGCTGCGCCTCCTCTCTCGACCTGCAGCTGCGGCCGAAGGGAGGGGGGAATGGAGGGATCTTCCCCCTGGAGAGGCACGATATTGCAGAAAGGGAGAGGGTCGCCATCACATGCGGCCGTGCAAACAGCGCAATCGGGCCTCGCAGCCGCCTCGGGCGAGCTGAGAGGGCGACCTCCCGCAAGCACGTTTCGGCGGGAGTTCACAGCGGCACGAGCGAAAATTTCAAGACTGGCGGGGACAGGGATGAGGAGGAGGAGGAGGAGGAGGAGGGGGAGGAGGGGGAGGAGGAGGAGGAGGAGGTTCGAGGAGCGAGGCGCTCGGTGGTTGTTTCGCTCTCGTTCCCTTGAAGCCCGTGGAGGCTCCCAGAGACCCCTAGAGAGCAGGAGGAGAAGGAGAGGAAGAAGGGAGAGGAGCAGCAGCAACAGCAGCAGCAGCAGGGGACAAGCATCATCGCCATCTCCAACACCACCATACTCCTTTTCCTCCTTTCCTCCTCCTCCTCCTTCTCCTCCTCCTCCTCCTCATCATCATCATCATCATCATCACCATCACCATCAGCATCACCATCACAATCATCATCATCAGCATCATCATCGTCATCATCATCAACATCATCATCGTCGTCGTCATCAGCAGCATCATCATCGCTTGTAAATTGCAATCTACATTCGGTATCCCGCCCGCCCGGACCATCTTTTTCCAAGATGCACGACGCGACGAGTGCTGTTGGCAATCGGATGCACGAGTCGCAGGGCCCCCCCTCAAGCGTACCAGGCGGAAGACCACCCTCCCAGGGAAGACCCCGAGGAACCCTCTCAAGGCTCCCTACATTTTTTTTGATCTGCGGGGCGAGAGCGAACCTCTTCCGCTAAAAGCTGGGCGGGCTACGCACAGCTTTAATTAGGGAGACAGGGCACAGCCAAGGCTTCCTACACGGAAGGCCGCAGGGAGGAGAGGGGTGGGGATGTGGCAGGAACACCTGTCGAACCACGCCTCCTGAGGGAAAGGGGCCGAAACGGCCCAGACGTCCTCCTTACTCATCGCTGGAGACTGCGCCCTGCCCGCAGGCAGTGCGGACCCGGCGGAGGTCAGGGAGCGCACTTGTCCTCGATGCATTTGAGCGCCATCTCTTGCTTCTCGTAGTCTCGGGCCTTGTCTTCGACAGCCTTGATCCGAATTGTCAAAGTCTCCAACCTGTCCTGCACGGCACTCCCGGGCGCGGCCGACGTGCGCGCGCTGGCTGTGGCCAGCGAGGCGCCTGCTAGCTTGCCCTTAAAATCCTTGGTGAGGCAGCGCAGCGGCGAGTCGGCGACGTAGCGCTGAATGACATCGCTGCCCCATCTCGCCAGCAACATGATCATCGGGAGGCTAATGCTCATCACCGCGAGCCTTCTCGAGCCCGTGATGCGGAAATAGAGGCCTCCGGTAACGCCGGCGGCCGTGCTCGTCCACCAGCGGTAGCTTCATTCTCTCGGCGATGGCTTCGATGGTGGCCACCATTTCGCGCTTCTCCACGGCCCTCTCACGCGCATCGGGGAAGAGCGGCGAGTCTTCGGGGAGGGTCGGAGCCGAACTTGTGCGACAGGTGCTCCAACTGCTCCATGACCGCGAAGACGACGCAGGGGACGTCGCCCTCCGGCGGGCAGACGCAGCCCCGCGCCCTGGTGCATCCCACTGCTCTGGGGTCGGTCCTGTGGTTCCGGCAGCGCCACAGGTGACCTCCCGCGGCGGGGAGGCTACGGAGACCGCCTTCGCGAGGCCAGGGGGCGCCTCGATCTCCCCGAGGATGAAAAAGCAAGCGAACACTTTTTGATCTGCGGGGCGAGAGCGAACCTCTTCCGCTAAAAAAAGGGGGAAAAAAAAACAAAAAAAAAAAACAAAAAAAAAAAAAAAAAACGAACGCGCAGAGCCCGGCAGGGCCCAGAGGGCCCTCGTCAACCAACGGGGCGCCCCCGAGCCCCGGGGCGAATACGCTGTCTGAGTCGAGCTCGCTGTCCTGCTTGGGCCCTCCGATGCCGCGAGTGCCAGACTTGACGGCCCTCCGGACCTCGCGGTCCAAAACATCGCCCCACTCGAATCCCCCAGCCATGTGTGCATTCTTCGCCGCGCATCGCCGACGCCGACGCCGACGCCGACAACAACGACGACGACGACGACGACGACGACGACGACGACGAAGCCGACGCCGACTTCGAAGCCGACGCCAACGCCGACGCGGGCGCCGACGCAGACGACGACGACGACGTCGCCGTCCGACGCCGCCGACGCCGACGGCGACCAAAACGCCGACGCCAACGCCAACGCCGACGCCGACACCGACGCCGACGCCGACGCCGACGCCGATGCCGACGCCGATGCCGACGCCACCACCGCCGCCGCTGCCAACGACGACGACGACAATGACGCAGATGCCGACGCCGACGCCGACGACGACGAAGAGCACGACGACGACGCCGACGCCGACGCCGAACCCGACGCCGACGCCGACGCCACGCCGACGGTGAAGCCGACACCGCCGACATCATCACCGCGCACGGTTCCTGGCGACGACGACGGACGACGACGACGACGACGACAACGACGACAACGACGACTACGACGACGACGCCGACGACGACGATCCCTGCTGCTAAGACCAGGAAATACAGCGCCGACATGTTTCTCATCACAGGCGGCACAGCATTCAGCCAAGGGCTTCAGGACGGGCTCGAAGCGACCTTTTCCGAATGAGCCGAGATCGACATAATCAATTCCAAGGAGGGCGGGCGGGCGGAAGAGACAGAGTTCAAAACAAACATGACTAACAGAGAGCAAGCAGAATAATGCACAAACGAAAAGAGAAAAGGTGGGCGGGCACCAAGAAGCCGCGGAGAAGCGGCGTCGGCGCTCGCAGGGATACAAATCTTAGGTGCGCAATCCCTGCTGCTAACACATGGAAGCGATGCTGCGCCGACATGTTTTTCATTAGGCGGCATAGCATTCAGCCAAGGGCTTCACGAAGGGCTCGAAGCGCCCTCTCCGAAGGAACCGAAGTCGACAGAATGAATTCCAAACCCTACCGAATGCAATTATGGCCTGAGGCCGCTGTAGATAAGATTGAGCAATCGCGGCGCACAATTTGGGAGGATAGGGCTCAGCAACAGTGGTGCGAAAGACGCCCTGGGGATCCCTCCCGATGAGCTCGACATGCTTGCATTTACTACAATCACATATGCCGCGTTTGGAGGAGTAGAGGCACTTGCAACTAGCGAAATTGACGCGCCAATGCCGGAAACATGCGCACCCGCGCCAAGGCGCGCCGCAAGCACAGGGGCCCAATGCCCAATCACGAACGTCGGGGCGCCCGCGGAGCTGCGAGACGGGAGGCGCCAGCCACAAACGAGAGGCACGAGCATTCCCAAGCGAACCGGGCAATTCCATGTGGAGGCACGCGCGGACTAGAGGGACGGAGGCTCTCATTAAAGTGTTGCCTATTTGGACTTTCACGATGTCTTTGGGGGTGCCGCGAGGCTGTGTTGATGTCTCATCGCGTCGCCATCGCTTCTCAAGGCAGGCGGGCCGCTCGGGCGAACGCGAGCCCGACTCCAGCTGCCGCGAGGGGTGCCCACATGAAGGCCGCGCAGTCGTCCAGCCGTGATCCTCTCAGCGATCAACGGAACAGTGGCGCGCTTGGCGAGTGAGAACTTTTCGCAACGTTTGATATCCCATTCGGTGCAAAGCCAACCTCTTCGGCCAAGAGCCCGGAGAGGTGGCCACTGTCTGAGAAGACTTCCAGAAAAACAGAAGGCGGCTCTGGACTCACTGGAGCAGTTGAGGCGCTGACAACGGCTTGGATCGCCCGGGGAGGGTCTCGCCGAACGTGCAGTGGCAGATTCGACAGTGCGCCTGAAGCGCTGGAGGTAATCGTAGCATCTGTTCTGGAATGTTCTGGCAGCCTGCCTCCTTTCTAGCACCTGCGTAGCGACGCGTCGGACGACCATCTTCGCCGCTACTTGATGTCCGCCAGGGCGCGCGCGAGGTCGGCGCGCTCGCCCGACGCGCCTGCCCGCCGTAGCTGGCGCGGCACTGGCGGGCCCAGCGAGTGTAGCCGCAGCTCCGGCACCACGTCACTGAACAGCCTGCTGCACTCGAGCTGCCCATGCCGATCAGCGGCTCCAACTCGGGAGCCGACCTCTTCAGCGTGCCGATGTACGTGTGCAACGCCGCATACCTCGGGTCGTCGACGACCAGCGAGTCGTCGAACCGCCCCGTCTTGGAGGGCCCCCTCACCCTCGAAGCGGCGGAGCTGCAGCACCCAGAAGGCGCGGCCCTCGCCCGCGAAGCCCCCCGGCGGCAGCAGGTCGCGAAGCTTCGCCGCCGCGAGCTCCCCAGGGAGGAGGTGGCAGACCGCGGCCGGCAACGCGCCCGCCGCCGCCCGCCGCTCCCCGCGTCCGCACATCGCCACCGCGACCGCGATCGCGGCCACCACTTCCAGGTGGATCGGTGGCCTCGCGCGCAGGGCGCGAGTCGCGACCATGGAGGCGCGTTCGCGGCAGCCGTCAGGGCGCGCGGCGCGACACCTCGGGGTTGAAGAACCCGACAGCCGCGATCAGCTTCGCGCCCATCCTGGCGTCGCGGCCCTCGAAGCACAGGTACTACAGGTACTCCGCGAGCGTCCGCCCCAAGGCGCTGGGAGGCGCGAGGGGCAGCATGTGGTGCCCCGCCCACGCCTGGACGCCCTCCCACATCTTCGCGCGCTGGTGCTCGGTCCCTGGCGCCACCGCGCGCATCTCGAGGATGGCGCGGCCGTTCCTCAGCTCGGCGCCGTAGGCGGCCACCCTCGGCGCCGCCGTTCTGGGCGTCCGACCCCGAGGTGCGCGTCGCCCCACGGTCAGGTGCGAGTGTGGCAGCCACGCCAGCTGTTCCTCCACCAGCGGGGGTGGCGGCGGCCTCTCGGGCGCGCGGCGCGCGGCGACGCCGCCCAGCCTCTCGGGCGCGCGGCAGAGGGCCGCAGTCGTCCGCCCAGGAGAGCTCCAGAACC